ACTCATTCGGACAATCAGATCAGAAAAGAAAAACAGTCAACATCCATTTGGAGGATCTGAAAACAATGTGGTCTTGCTTGGGTAATAAATCCACTTGTGGACATGTTTAAGTGCATGAAGCTTCCTTAGATGGCAGGAGATGGTCACGGGGATCCACATTTAAGAAGGATGGAAATTAGCATGGAGGGCCCAAGATGGTTGTCTCAGAAGCATTAGTTTAGTGTTTTGTTTTTTTTTTTTTTTTTTGAAGGCTTTGATAGGGCTAAGGTCAAACTATGCATTTGCTGTACTCTTTAGCACTCTTTAAAAAGTAATGAGAACATCTGGGTTTAAATGCTTCTTTTGTCTTAAGGCTATATTTATAAGCCAAATCTCCATTTTGAACTGAGTATTGGCAAGCAGTGGAGCTGTTGGGAATGTGGCTCTGTCCTTTATGTAGAGAAGAGGTTAATGGGTCAAAAACCTGGAACAAAACAAAACCCCTAAGTGATTCCAGGTTGATCTAAAATCATTGATTTGTGAGAAAGAGCACATTAGCCTGACACACGGGGCTCATTCAAAATGGCCTTGTCTCAATGCCAGCCCATTTCCTTGTGGGCTGTGTGGTGCCCTTCTCTTTGGAGCAGTATGCTGCTAGCCCCTGGATGCGCCACTGCATCACTGCCCTGTGAGTGGGCAGACTGGACCTCTAATACCAGGGAGGTAGTGGCTGTCTAGTGGCTGTGCGACCCATGCCAAGCTACCTGGACATTTTGAGCTTCAGTTTCCTCGTTGGTAAAATAGGTCTAAGATCAGCATTTGGCCCTCATAGACACTGATGGGGCTTTAGCAAGATTAGGACTTTCTCTTACTGTTGTCAGTTGCGCATCTCCAGACCCATAAATGGAAGGTCCTGCTGTGATAGCTCCCTCTGGAAATGGGAGCAGATTTGTCTGTCCTCTGATGAGGTCCAGGAGTGGATTTGGCTGGATGGTTATGGTAGTGCCAGTCAAAGTCTACACGGCAATTATTCAGAGAGAGAAAATGAGCATCTGGATCAAATATCAGAGTCTTTAGATTTAGGAAGTGTTTGGTCATGCTTACTATGCTTTGGTGTAACTGTGCCCAACCTCACCATGACCCCAATTGCCTGAGCCTGTGTATGGTATGGCCTCAGACAAACCTCTTTGGTACCCTCTCTGTGTTTTGTATCCTGCATCTTGGGGTTGCCAAGCCATAGAAAGACATGTCCTTTAGCCTGATTTAGGTGGAGGACACACTGATTAAGAGAAAGGTCTCAGTTAGAATCTTGCCTCTTTGCTTCCTGGTTGTGGAACCCTGAGCAAGTTGTTTCACCAAGCCTCAGTTTCCCCCCACATACAGTGGCGGTGACGATGAGCATGATGATGCTTCACCCGGTAGTTATGACGGTGAAAGGAAATACTACATTTAAATCATGTAGCACAGAGCTTGGCTCACAGTAAATACTCAAATAATGTTCCTTATCAGCTGTTACCCCAGGGTAGAGCTGGAAGAGTGAAGAAAGCCCTCAAGCGTTGGCAGTGAGAAGCCTCAATCTTGAGCCTCCTTGCTCTGAGGAAAGTTGCGGGGGTCTCAACAAAGGGCCGAACCAGTGGGCTCTTTCCATTCTCTTCCCCACAGACTTGGGGCTGGAGCCGAGGAGTGGTGAGGAAGTGCATGGAGATTCTCTCTCAGTGATTAAGAGAATTGTGGGAGGTCAAAGGGAAGCCAATCCTGCTCTCTAAGAACAAGGATGGGGACCAGTCCTGTGAGACAGACGCCTGTCTGTGCTCTCATGTCAGTAAAACCCACTTCCCAGCTTCCCTTTTCTGATCGTTGGTTTGTAGTGACAATAAATCACAGGGCCGAGCATCCTCTGGGGCCTGAGTCTCTAACTCAGGATGTCATGGCCCTGCCTTTATGTGGACACAGTGAGAACCTGCTTTGAGGTTTAGACCAGTAGGTGTCTGGCATCTGTAAGGGAAGGTGTGGAGTGCTCACAATCTGTGTGCAGTTCCCAGTTGTGTTTGCTTCTTCAGGTGACTCCTGGAGCCACATCTCAGCAGGAGGGACACCAGTGCATGCACACACACACACACACACACAGCCTTCCATGCCAGGGAGGTAATGCAAATGAGTGAAGCTAACCAAGTGTAAGACAAATGTTGGGGAGAAGCTCTGTGATGATCTGGAAAACTTATGACTGGCTCAAAGTCATTAAAAAAATGTCTCATGGGAGAGAATTTTCTAATTTTAGAAACACTTCAGCTGGGTGCTGTCTGCTTGTGGCCTGTCTACCCCTACTTAGCAGTGGCAATGGTGGTCAGTGCCCACTGGTGGTGTGCCCACTGGTGGTGTGGGGCTGGGCATGGGAGTGGGGCAGCACTGGCCTGTGGGACCACTGGACATCCTGATGAAGCTTCATCCAGAGAGGCTGGGAGGTGAAGAAGAGATGAACTCAGCCAGCCAGGCCATCGCCACTGGGTCTTGCCATTCTGGCGGAGTCTCCTGGGGTTTGGTACCCTTAGAACTTCTAGTAGTCCCAGATCCCATCTACAGAGCAGAAGGGGATCCAGGGAAGAGGCTGCTGGATTGGCAGCTGCCTGGTCTCTGCAGGTGACGCTCTGAGCAACCTTGGGCCACATGATTTTCCTAGCGTCTGGAGAACCTACACTTCTCATAGAAGGACCAGGGGCTACCTTAGGTCTCTTGGGGTTTCTGTGAAATGACAGCCTCTGTATCAAGTCTTACTTCCCTTCTAGTAGCAATGCTACTGTAAATGAGGCCCGGACTTCTCAGCAGATATTTCAACAACAAGAGGCTTAAGGGAATAAGGAATTTGCAAATCTTAAACACTGGAAACAGGCCAGGAGTTTAGTGACGCTGGAAGAAACTTGAGATTTGCCCAAGAGCACCGAAGCCCCTCTCTCTAGCTTCCCACTTGCTCCCAGCACTCTAGAAATCTCCAACAAGATTACTGGAAAGCCTGGCCATTAAAAGGCAACTCATAGCCTCTTTTTAGCCTGGATCCTATATCAAAACCAGGCGGAAGGCCCGTCTTCAGCATTAACAGCGGCCCTCCACACACAGATAAGAGTTGTGGTTAAGAGGAACAGTGCGTGTGTGTGTGTGTGTTTGCACGTGTGTGTGTGCACGTGTATGGCTGCAGACCCTTCCACGGGCTGAGATAAATCAGACTTTTAAACTGTCTTTTGCTAGGCTATTAGAAAAATAGATATCTCTTCAAACAGCTCCCTGACAGGAGGCAGACCTCAGCTCTGGGCAGAATGTAGCGGCAGGAACTATCACCAAGTTATCTGATAGCTGAGAAGGGTACATTTTGCCTATCTGGAAACCGAGGGCCAGAGGAGAGCAGGGTGGGCTCAAGATCAACAGGGGTAGACCAGGACTTGGACCCCAGACACAGAAACCCTATTCAGGTTTACCTTCTTCTCCCCAGGATGGGAAGTTGTGGGCCTTGGCAGTCATTGCCTTACATGTAGGTGACAAGGTGCTTCTGGTGGAAGCTGGAACGGGCTCCCCCATCAGCCCCTTTACTCAGGGCCCTCAGCAGAGCAATTCCAGGCCCTACCTGGTGTCCACTGGGCGGGGTTTCCTACTCTGGGAAGCAAGGAGTTCCTTGGCCAGAGCCCTGGCCTTTTCAAAAGTTGAGGCATCTGGGCTCCAGACCGGCTGTTCCTCTGATCTGCAGTGTGACCTTGGGCAAGGTCGCTGCCCCTATTTGGGCTCAGGTGCTCCATCTTGCAACAGGAGGAGTGTCATTAGACCTTCCCCCACAGCTGACTTCTTGTGCTGAGGACCTAAAACTAGAAGACCCCGCCGGCCAGCCTCCCTACCGAGCTCTGAACAGGTCATGCGGGCTTCTCCCAAGAGGTTTATGCCTTCAGTTCCACTGAGCTTTGCTCAGTTTGTGCATCTTCGATCCTCCAAAACACCTGGGCAGCAGGTCCCGATCAGAAAGTGCCATCCTAGAGGGGCTGGGTGGCTCTCCCAAGGTCACACATCAGCAAATGACAGGGAGGGGGCTGGAACCAGCATGGCTGGAGTCCAAGCTGGGGGACATTTCCTAGTTGCCAAGACTCATACTGGATGTTGTCCAGTGGCAAGGAAGGACTTGGCGAGCAATGTATGTCTCTTCCTTGTTCCCAAGGGACAGTGGAGCCTAGAGCTGAGAGCTGTGATCTCTCACACAGGCTCAACAACCCTGACCATGTGGAGGGCGTGGGGGCCTAAAGGTTGGAGTCTGCACTGGGGAAGGGAGCAGGCAGAACTCAGGATCGTGGCTGCTTTGCTTCTCTCTGTCTGAGGGTCGAGCAGTCCTGTGATCAGGCGGGTGAGGGAGAGGAGCCCAGCACAGGGAACCACCTCTACGCCAGACCCACGGTGTGTTCTTGCGGTCAGATCACAGAGAGGGGGCCTGGTTTTCTACAGGACTTTCTGTTCATGGGGTGGGAGTGAGCCAAGGGAAGCCCAGGACCTCCCCGTCCAGTGCTAGAGCTCGGCCTCTCCCAAGTGCTGGGAATTCTCGTCCCTTGAAATGGAGCTGTGGTTTGGGTAAAACATGATGAGCTCTGTTGGCCATCTTCGTAGCTAAACAGCGAGGCATCCGATTCTCACATTTGCCTGGTCTTTCATACCTTCAGCTTCGGCTCTCACTTCCACCTCATGACAGCCCTCAAGGAGGTAAGGCAGACCCTCTCTACTCATTTTCCAGATGAGGACACTGAGGGCTCCCAAGGTCACATGGGTGGTGGCTTGCCAAGGGGAGATTCAGCACCAGGTGCCCTCACCCAGGCTCATCCCACTGCACCTGCCGCTGCCCTGCAGAGCAGTGTTTCTTGAAGCATCGGGAAGAAAAGTGAGGGCAGATGTGGCCAGATGTGTCCATCTGTCCCCAGCCGGCTGGCCCCCACCCCTTGAACAGCCTTGTCTGCTGTGCCCAGTGCATCGGGGACTGCAGCTGGGAGGCGGGGTCTTACCTGCAGCCGTGGTGATGCCCAGGAGCCGGCAGGTGTATTCCAGACCAGTCCAGAACATTTGCAGCTTCATGATGCCAGGGTTGAGGGCAGAGTCCCAGTACGGCAGGCAGCAGAGGCTTCGGCCTGAGATGCTCCTGGATGCCTGTGTGTGCAGGGGGAGGCTGTGGCTGTCGGCTCCGGGCCCCCGTGCCCTGGGGCCCTGCCTTCCAAACCAGTCTTGGCCACCACAGCCTGGCTGAGGTGTGGATAGGGCTCACCTTCCCGGCTCTGCTGCCTATGCCCTTGCCAGACGCTTAGCTTAATCATTACCTTGGAAGAATGCCCCTGCCACTCCGTGCAGCTCCAGCCTGGCCTGGAGCCGCTGAGGCTCCAGCACGGCCAGCAGCTTGAGATCAGGCCAATTAGGGCTGGGCTGGAGGCAGCCTGGAGCTGGCAATTAACCATTTCTGGGCGGGAGGAGAGAGCCGAAGGGCCAGCCCACGCCCTCCCTTCCTGGTCAGCTCTGAGGAAGCCACACCTGGACCTCAGGCCCACTGGCTCTAGGAGAGGTGGTGTCTAGAGGTGGCAGGTCCGTGTTGGTCTGTGTGGGGGAAGGAAAGATGTGTCTTTAAATCACGAGCAGAAGCAGCTTTTCGAGCTTCTATTCTTCTGCATATAGGTGGAAAGCTTTGCAGTCTGTGCTGGATTTGGACTCGACCAGACATGCCTATAGCTCAGGCCAACCCCACACACGGCCCCTCCTTTATCCCTGACAGGCATCCCTGACGTGTGATGTGGGAAATAATTATGATTCTTTGGGAGCAGAATTTCTATGTCAATAATTAACTGGGTGACCTTGAGGAAACCCAAAGATATTAGTAAGCCGTAGTAACTTTTGCAGAAAACAAATGGGAGGGTTTGGCTGGATTGGTGACTCTCAAAGTATGTCCTGAGAGCAGCTCCAAGAAACCCAGCCTCTAAAAGTTGACAGTTGTGGGCTTTTACTAATTCTCAATTTCCTCATTGACGCAAGGAATTGAACGGTATCAAGTTTTAGGGTTTCTCCCAGGCCTTTTTCTGAAATCTTTTATTACCCCTGTGCTCAAATGGGATAGACGGCAAAACAACCAAATTAGGTAAAAAAAACCAAAAAAACCCCCAAAAAACCCCAACCCAAATTCGAATAATAATGAAAAACTCAGGCATAGTCTGTTTTGTTTATTGCTTTGTGAGGATCATACACCCTCATATAATGAATAGATATTTTTCTCTATTAAAATTATGCTAAGTTCCCAGTGAAGGAGATAATCAACAAAACTAAAAGAGAACCTACTGAATGGAAGAAGATATTTGCAGATGCCATGTCTGATAAAGGGTTAGTACCTAAAACATATAAAGAACTGATACAACTCAACACCCTAAAAACAAATCCTCCAATTTAAGAACGGGCAGAAGACATGAACAGATATTTCTCCAAAGAAGACATCCAGATGGTCAAAAGACGCATGAAAAGATGCTCAGTATCACTCATCATCAGGGAAGTGCAAATCAAAACCACAAGGAGATATCACCTTACACCTGTCAGAATGGCTAAAATCAAATACACAAGAAACAAAAGTGTTGGGGAGGATGTGGTGAGGACGCACGTTGGTGGGAATGCAAACTGGTGCAACCATTCTGGAAAATAGCATGGAGGTTTTTCAAAAAAATTAAGGATAGAACTACCCTGTCACTCAGAAAGCACACTACTGGGTATTTAGCCCCGAAATACAAAAACACTAATTCAAAGGGATAAACGCACCCCTATGTTTGTAGCAGTATTATTTACAATGGTCAACCTATGATGCAGCCCTAGTGTCCACCTGATGATCCATCCACTGATGAATGGATAAAGGAGATGTGGTATAAATACACAGTGGTATTACTCAGCCATTAAAAAGAGTGAAATCTTGCCATTTGCAATGATATGGATGGAGCTAGAGCATATCATGCTAAGTGAAATAAGTCAGTCAGAGAAAGGCAAGTACGATGTGATCTTGCTCATATGTGGAATTTAAGAAACAAAACAAATGAGCAAAAGAAAAAAAAAGAGGGAGACACAAACCAAGAAACAGACTCTTAACCATAGAGAACAAATTGATGGTTACCAGTGGGAGGTGGATGGGGGGATGGGGGAAATAGAGGATGGGAATTAAAGACTGATTATGATAAAAAAAATTAAAAAATAAAGTTATTCTGATGTGATTGATTAATGTGATCAAGATTTCATAATATTCCATAAAGACTATCATTTATTTTTCACCCCCCCCACCTTTGAATGAGTTTAAGAATCTCCGTGTTCATGGGAGCTTTAAGATCAGGTTTAAAAATGTGTGGTTTGACATATTTCTTTCTTGGGTCAGCTGACTGTGTTTAATAGCAGACTGCATTTATTAACTCCAAATCTCCCAGTTTTCCACAGGTCTTGGCACCCGTGGCTCCATGCATCCCCTCTCCTCCATGCTGGTACCTGGGTCTCTGTGGCAGACACTGAAGCATGCGGATGTTGTTGCTGGGGGCCAGGGTCTGCAACCCTGTGGCTCCATGCCCTGCAGGTGCCTGTTCTCGCTGAGCTCCTTGGGAAACTCTGGCCAGCCCCGCAGCATGCCTTGCTTCCTCCTTGCTCATGGCAGCTGGTTTTCTTGGGTATCTGACACCTGCCTGCTCAGAAGACATAAACTCCTTCCAGGCCTTGGTTGACAAGGTCTGTTTAGCTCAGTCCTGATTATAACCTCCCCTTCTTAATGCCGTTGTTTTAGGAATGAGCATGAGACCCAATTCTGGTCAAACAGCCTGGAAGGGGCATGTGCTGATGCACTTCTGGGAAAGCGTCCCTCACTTTTAATAAGGGGCCTGAAGATGGGCTGGGCTCCCCCTCTTTGGGTGCCCCTGTGTCAGGATGGGCAGCTCTGTCGTGATGAGAGGGTCAAGGCAAAGGGCACAATCAGCATGTGGAGTCTGCCCAGTGATACGGCAGCAACACAGGGCACCAGCTATGTTTAGGGAGCTGCTAAACTTGCCTGTTCCTTATTGTTTTTGTTTTTATTTATTTATTTATTTATTTATTTATTTATTTATTTATTTATTTATTTATGTATTTTTTATTTTTTTATTCTTATGTTAATCCCCATACATTACATCATTAGTTTTAGATGAAGTGTTCCATGATTCATTGTTTGTGCATAACACCCAGTGCTCCATGCAGAATGTGCCCTCCTCAATACCCACCACCAGGCTAACCCATCCTCCCACCCTCCTCCCCTCCAGAACCCTGTTTGTTTTTCAGAGTCCATCGTCTCTCATGGTTCGTCTACCCCTCCGATTTCCCCCGCTTCATTCTTCCCCTCCAGCTACCTTCTTCTTCTTCTTTTTTTTTTCCTTAACATATATTGCATTATTTGTTTCAGAGGTACAGATCTGAGATTCAGCCTGTTCCTTATTAAGCCAGTTGACCTAGGTTTGGGTTATAGCCCAAAGCATTTCGCCTGACATGGTGGGTCATGCCTGAACTGAGTTCTTGCCAAGACTTTTCCTCAGGAAGCTCTTTCCTGCACACTGGGCTTAGATTGGGGAGACTCAGAACCAAAGCGCTCCATCCCTGAGGGTGCCTCTGCTTCACCGGGGCTGCTGCTAAGATGGATGAAGTGGGGTACTGGGCTGGTGGTGGAAGGAGGGTACTGCCTGTTGCAAAAGCACAATGCGGAGGAACCCCAGGGTGTGTCATCTCAAAGAAACTCTCTAGAGGGCTCTGGCAGAGTTTCTGGCCCCTCTTACTACCATTAAGCCATTTGTGGAGATCCACGGGGAAAGGAGAAATCTGGCTGGCAGACAAGGTCCTCAGACATCACAGAATTCAGAGAAAAGATTTCCAGGAACCAAGGGCCAGACACCCTGAAATAGAAGCTAACTGTGAAGGTGGTGGAGCATTGTAGTCACCAAGGGCCCAGAGGAAAAAGAAAGGGCCATTTTCCTGAGAAATCCCCTGCCCAGGGAACTCTGCTTCCAACAGGCTTGAGAAAGGATGGAGGGAAGGACCCAGACTGCTGATGGCTGTGAGGGACCTGCATAAAGAGTGTGGAAAAGTACACCAAGCAACAAGAAGGGAGCCTCAGATTCCAGCAGTAGAAGAAGCAGAGTGCTAGGGACCCCACTGCTCCGTTCAACGGCGTGACGTGCGTATCACATGGAGAAAGCACACTTTCCACTCCTGGTGCATTGGAAGGGTCTCAACTTGCACTCATGGGTGGGAGTTATGGGGAAAAGCTCACAGTAGGGGAAGGTGTTCTATCCATCATCCCCCCACTGATAGGATGGGCTAGTGCAGGAGGTCCTGGAGCTCCCAAGCACACCGTGTGTGTGTGTGTGTGTGTGTTTGCATGGGTGGGGAACACTGTGGGCCGTTCTCAAGCACTGATTGGATGGTTTGGACCCGGGAGTCTGTGATTCCAGATGGCTATGATTCCTAAAAGTATCCAGACAGGTGCTCTGAGAAGTGCCAGGGATGCACCGAGAATGCGAAGGAAGAGAGCCGGGATCTTCTACCTTGCCTGGTTCCTCTTCTGCCCGCCTATCCACAGTCCCTGGGTGCCCGGCCAGGGCCGAGAAACAGTGTAGAGAGGGAGAGGGGGGATGCCAAGCTCAGCCCCGCGGTTAACAGCTGTGTGACCTGGGACATCCTTTATCCTCTGTCAGTCCTCACTTCCTTATCTGTCAAATGGGTCTACAAGGCATCTCACTGGGTTGGAAGTATGGTGTCAAAAGACTGTCTAAAGCAGATGCCAGGAAATGGGGTCTAATATTATAAGTGAACAAAGAAAACTGTCTGCACTGTGGCCAACCTTTTGTAGGTTTTGTTACAACAGGATTCCACCCAGTGAGCCGACAACACTCCAAGTTCAGGGCACAGCCCGGCCCTGACCTCATGGAAAACCAGGCTAGAGGGAGTAGTTGTTCTTTGGGACAACAGGGCTCATCCGGAGCTTTATTTACTATATTGTTTCATGTGCCTGCACACTGACCAGAGGGCCTGTGTGTTGTACCCATAGGAAGACA